AGTTGTCCCATTAATTTCTTTCTATTTTTAGTAGAGACGGGGTCTTGCTCTTGCTCAGGCTGGTTTCGAACTCCTGAGCACAAACAATCCGCCCGCCTCAGCCTCCCAGAGAGCTAGGATTACAGGCGTGAGCCACCGCGCCCGGCCAGTATTTCACTTTTAATCAAGGAAATTCACTGGTCTCAACAACAGCCCAAACAAAAGTCTTAATTACTTTAATTTATTCTTATCCATTAATTTTAATGAATTATTACATTTCAATTTTAAGATTCAGAGGATATAATAGAAACTCACTCTTAACATCTAAATTAAATTAACCATTAAGAAAAAGCACAAAGGTCAACATAGGAAAATGAGAAATACTTATTCCTGGATTTGGGAACGTTTAGCCAGAATGCCAATCCAATCTTGGAAAACATGAGTATAGCAGACCAAGAAGTTAGGCACACAAACTTCTTCGTGACATGGCTGGCTATAATGTGACTTTTACATAAACTACATTCACCCACTAGTGGCTATCAAGGGGGGATTTTATTAGTAACAGTTTGGTTTTAATACAATTTCATTTAACCAAGTCCACTGCAACATCCCAAACTATTCAAGGTAATTCTAGTGGAACATTATTAAAGTTTAGTACAAATGCCAATATTGCTTACATTTCTGGGACTATGTTACAGAGCTTGTCTACAAAATGTACTAATTATACACTATATATTATAGGTCACTACTTCAACAGTAAAATGTACAGAGCGGCTAATTAGGTTCAAGTTCATTTGGCTAAAGCCTGGTAATATTATATCTCTTTTCTCGATGTTTATATTCTCAATGGTTGCCATCTTCATTAGGTAGTATTACTATTCCTAAAACCTCTGACTTGTCACAAAGGAGGGGAACAGAGTCCATCTTCTCTCACAGAGTATGACAAATTGGAAATCGAACAGCTTTATACTGTGTACACAGACCAGCTGGTCATGGCCGTGGAGCACAGGTAGCAGCATATGTTTCATGGATGTGCTAGTTTTGAAATACGAGGTTTTCTCCCAAACTCCTAGATGAGGATATTAAAACTCTTTTCTAAGGCTCTAACTTAGAGGTCAGCAAGTTTTTCCTCTATTGCAACTTCTCAAGTCTGCCACTGTAGCACAAAAGCCTGGCTGTGTTCCGATAAAACGTGATTATAAAATAAGCAGCGAGTGGGCCAGACTTGACCCGCCCCTGTCTTCATATATTCATACTGGTCCCTCAAAACAGCATTCCTATTATGGCCAGGCGTTACTAAAAGAGCTGAGTTCAGATGTTAAATTTACGGAAATCTAAGGAAGGTAGAGGAAAAAGGTATTGCTAACTACATTTAAAAAAAAAAAAAAAAAAGACAACTGTCCATCAAGAGAAAAAAGGGAAAAAGACTAAGTTCAAACTGTTACAAGAGTAGCACTAAGAAGACAATTTCCAGAATGAATTGACTAGTTGATGCCGTGATCTATGATGACGCCACTGCACTCTGACCTGGGAGACAGAACAAGATTCTGTTTCCAAAAATAAATAAATAAATAAAAATAAGCAAATAAATAAATAAAATAAAATAAGGGATTATTTTCTAGAAATGATTTAGGATTAGCCCTGACAGGAAAAGGAGATTAGGTTAGACGAGTGGTTCCTGAACCTGACTCCTTAACAGAACTATCTGGAGAGAGTTTTGAATACTGTGTATGGATTAAAAGTTCCCAGAATCTCTGGGGGTGGGCCTCAGCATGGTTATCTTTTTGAAGCTCCCTAAGCAATTCAGATGCACTCAGTCCTGCACCAGCCCAAGGACAAGCATTTAGATGATCAGCCTGTGTTCTTAAGAAAAACCTCAACAAAACAGCAGTGAGTAGAGGTCTTCTCATTTCTTCTGCTCTTCTAATACGTTACGGGTGTCAAATTTGATTTATTCACCCTCTAAGTGTTAGGACCTCCAGATAATGAGAGAGGCCATACATTTTCACAGCATCCAAGTCTTAGTCATCAAGGTCAAACTCAACAAAAAAACTTCCATTTAGAAGTCTTGGCTGGGCATGGTGGCTCACACTTGTAATCTTACCACTTTGGGAGGCGGGAGGATCTCTTGAGCCCAGGAGTTTGAGACCAGCCCGGGCAACACAGCAAGACTTTGTCTCTATTTAATTAAATTTTTAAAAAAAAGAAAAGAAAAAGAAAAAAATTTTTAAACATAGTCTTCCCTGAGCACATCAGTTCACACTGATTCCTTTCCTCTTTTAAATTCCTAGCAGAGTTAGTGGATATTCATTGAAAACTTCATCACATATTGGCTTTTTAATGTATTGCTCTTGATTTTTCTAAAAAGATTTTAATATATAATGACAGACATCATCTTATATTTCTTTGTGTTATCAAGAACATTCAGAATAGGATTATACACAAGATATCACGTTAAATTTTTGTTAACCATGAAAACAATACATTTTTGGAGAAAACTGGGCTAATAATCAAGTTTTTCTAAAAGCCAAATATTTTTAAGGATCTCCTCCAAGACTGCCTATATTAAAAAAAGGAACAATGTTGGATTTCTAAAAATCTAACATATAGTTAGCTCTTTTTCAAAGAAGTTTGAAAGAAATCTGAGAATCTGATGATTACTGTGCCCACAAAAGTAAAAGTGAACCCCTGATTATTCAACCAAGAGAGACTGACAGTTATGTTCGACTATAGGTTTTTCATGCTCATGCTTCTTCACTGCAACTTCATGAAATTCAAAAAAAAAAAAACCTGTTGCCATTACCTGCCAATTTTAATCTTTTTGCACTGATTGCTATCCTCACAAAGATAATACAGTTGAATGGCACCTGGAGTGTCACAATGCATTTTGTAGTGCAAAACAAAGACACTGCTATCCCTCCGACAGGCCAACAAATTATGCCTAGTAGTACATTCCACATTTCATTACATATTTGGGATGTCTGAGAGAAAGTAAACACCATTTCAGTCCTGGGTAGACATTCTCTGTTACACTTGTCCTTGAAGTTGGATTTAAGTGTTTTATTAAAAATTACAAATGTGATATATTTATAAATATGAAAATAACAAAGAAGCACATAAAATTCAACATGAAAGCCTCCTCTTTACTGCCCCGTGGTAGCCACTGTGAACAGTTCGATGTATATATTTCAAGACTTTACACATATATAAACACTCACATATATACACATACAGTTTCATTTCTAGCCAAAATGCAATTATACTGTACATACTGCTTCTGCTTTTTAATTGGAGATCTTATTTGTATATGTAAATCTATGTAATTTTTAAACTGTACCGTAATTTATTTAAACCATCCCTTTACTAATGGACATTGGGCTGTTTTCTTTTTTATGCTTTAACCAGTAATACCACAATGAACATCCATGTGCACATACATTTGTGCATGTGCCCAAAATGGGCCTAGAGGAGGAAAAAAACAGAATTCGTGGGTCAAGGGGAATGAGAATTTTAAATGTGAATGGGCATTGCCAAATTGCCTTAACCAATTTATATATCGGTGCTGATGATATGATGTATACTGTATCCACTTCCCTATACTTTTGACAAAGCTGGACATTATCCAATTTTAAACTTGCTCATTTGATAGAGGAACAATGCTGTCTTGTTTTATTAACTTGCATTTTCCTGGATCATCCAGGAAGTTAAGCATCTTTTCATTTATTTTTTAAATCACTTACTTTTTACTTTTTTTCATCTGTGAACGCTCCTTCCTACTCTATTCTGACATGCTGAGGCTGTGGGTCTCTTTCAAAGTAACTCTTGGAATCTTCATGTAATATGGCTGTAACCCTTGGTTTTTATGTAGTTTGCAAAATAGAAATTTTAATTTTTGCATACTGTAAGATCTATCCCTTTTTTTGCCTTTTGTGGCTTCTGGTTTTAATAGCTTAGAAAGGCCTTTCTTTGCCAGAAAATTATTTCAATATTCTCAAAATATTTTCAGAATTTTATCTGTCAAGTTTAATCTATTTAGAACTTTTCTTATCCACGGCCTGAGATGGAGATTTGACCTAATCACTTGCCAAAATACAGAGACTTTGAGTTAATCCTTTT